CCCCAAAACCCCAAAACCCCAAAACCCCATAAATTATTAGAGTTGAAATTTAATGGGAAGTTAAAATAATCAATTAGTTTATTGTGAATCAGCTTCAGTTTGATCAAAACTTGATTCATTATAAGTTCTTTGATTTTCTAGTTTTTCCAAAAGCCTTTTAGATCTTACCCTGAGCATGCAGGAGATGAATACTAAGAATATCAAAATCAAAATTCCACCCACAATCATAATAATTAAATGTTTTGGATTTATCTGTACCCCATACTAAACTTCTTCAACTATATAAGGATCATATGCTAATGAAACCATTTCTCCAGTCTGTTCATCCTTGAATTAAGCCACTAAGCCTACGAGTTTGATGTATTGAATGTCTGACTTCTTTATTTTCATTCCTTACTTTTCCTTATCAGAGGCATCATATTTCATCAAGATAATTGACTGCTCTTTCGAATGTTGAATAGAGCACATTGACTGAAAAGTATTAAACAACTTTTTATTCCTAGATCCGTAGAGTTTAAACTAAACATTTTAAACTTTTGACATTGGCTTATCAACGTAATCTCCTTTGTTCTCATAGATATTTACCCACTTAATAAATAAATGGTCTTAATCATTAGGAATTGTAGAAATCTCTATTTCTTTTTAATCCTTCTCAAATTAATATTTTTCCACTAAAGTTTACTGACTTGAAGGAATCAAGCTGACTTTGATTTCGAAATATGATTCAGACAAGTTTTGATATTCGCTATAGAATTCATTAGATGACTAAATGCCCATATAGATATAGTCAGAATTGAGCAAGTTTACATTTTTTATTGTTTTAGTGATTAACCCAAATTTGTTATTATCTTAATCATTAATCGTAGAGTTGATTTTCATTTTATTTTCAACACCAAATTCAGGATCAAAGAGTAAAAGATAGCTTTCAGAAACAAATAGATCAATCATGCCATTACAAGGTGTTACCTGAATATAGAGATCTTAGTCTTGATCCTTGTTGATATTTTAATTAATAAAAACTTCATAGATCATAAATGTCCTTTCAAAATTAGATACATGGCCTCTCGTTGTCTAGCCAATGAAGAGATATTAAACTTCACTGCCACTTAGAGTAAGTTTCAAGTCTAAATCATTTAAATTTTATTCAGATGATATTACTTTTATAACAATTACTTAGTTATTTTCTTTCATTTCAGTTTGAATAGCTGTATATACATTATAAATATCTCTATATCTTGAGTTTCTAATAACATAATCAAAATTTCCTTTTAAATCAAACTATTTAAGTTTTCTCTAATCATTTATCAAATCATCACTAGCCTACCCAATAAATATCATATAGGAATTTTTCTTAGTTATTTTCCCATTTATTGAGAGTTAGAATTTGCTTGAAGATGGCACATAGAAAAAATATTGAGAGCTATTAGGCTAAAGATTTATCATTTGATTAGTACCATCAATTATAGGCTTTATTTTGTGATACTCAGTTGTTACCAAGACATAACAATATAATTCTTCAATGCTTTCTATCAAGACTTAATATGAATCAATTTAATCCAGGTTGAATTTAATCTCTACAGAATTAATCGATTCAAATTTTTAAAATGGTATTCTATTATTTTCTTTTATATTTACAAGGTTATTTGGATGCTAAATCAAAATCTAATCTCTGTGTAGAACCTTAAGATTTCCTTGTCCATAGAAGTACTAAACTAATATTTGATATTCTGCATTTTATTTGGCATTTAAAATCTAAAGAGTAGTCTTTTCATTTTATTTCATTCTGATCTAATTTGGCCTGCCTACTACAATGTTCTAAATATATCCCATATATGAATCTGAATCCTAAGAAGCAACAAACTAAATTTTCTATTGTATATCTTTTCTAAGATTTTTAATGCTTATCAAATACTAGCAGTACATACAGAAATCAGAGTCATTAGTAGGGATATAAATATAGTTAGATTTTAATCTATTTGATTCTATTAATTTAGAATGCTCTTTCTTGTCCCTAGCTAGTTTAGTCAAATTTACTTCGATATAGTTGTAGGCAAAATTTGTTGGATTATTTTCAAGTACATCATATCTAATACTCAGACTAGAATTCTGAAAATTTGTAAACTGAAGCAATTGGTTCTCGTTTGGATCTAGTTTTAAAATGTATGATTAGCCAATAGAAATAAACTAAGAATATAGCAACTTTCCAGTTTATGAAATTTCATTTAAATTTATTTGTCTTATTTTTATTCGGAACCATAAATTAAGATGCGATGAAACTATTATAGAATATTTTCCTTTGGTGGAATGATTTTTGTATTTGGAATGATTACTCGGGATCAATATCTTAGTATCCTAATCTTTAGTTGAAAAATTCCATGATGTATAATCAAGCTCTAACATATTTTTGAACTAAATCTGCAGATTTGTTTAAAGATATGCTATATCACACTTAAATTCAATTTCTAAGTCTGAATCATCTTAAATTTTCTGGAATGTATATTACTTTGCAATAACTGCATTATTTATTAGGAAAGCATCCCTAATTTCTTTGTCATCTCTTAATTCTTATTTGTCTTTGGTTATAAAAATGATGTAGCTGATGGATAGATTTTATTAATTGTTATCAACAATAGTATTTACACCTCTAGCCCTAATAAAGATATAGCAACCTTAGTCACATGAATAATTTAGGATTGGATCTACTGCTCCTATCCATTTAAAATTACGATGGTCTGTGAAATGTGCCTAGAGATCTGGATATTCATATTAATCTATTTCAGGCTTTTCTTCTTTATTTTTTATTATTATATCTAGATATAATTATCCATATGGCATTTCAACATTAATAAGAAAGCTATCAATCTTTTTCATTTACAATTTGAAAAACTAATCTTAACCCATTTCTTATCTAAAGGAGTAGCTCTTACCGAGTAGAATATTTATTATGTCTGACGCATTATTTTTGATAGCCATAATATCATACAAAGCAGAATTTTTTTCATCACTATACACTCCTACTACAATGTATTTTAAAATAGAGTTTTATCTTTGCTCAAATTAGTCAATCATAATAGGAGGGATTATTATCGTGTCAAATGGAGTGTTAGCATCTGATTTTAAATCAAATTGATCTATTGTTGGAAACAATATGCTGTTGTTAAGAGTAGCAACTATATTAGGGTTGCCAGAAAGAGAAACACATTATATTATATAGCCATTGTTTGGGTAATCTAATTGTATCTGGTAATGATTAATCTGATTTTCTTTGAGATATCCTCTCTATAATGTGTTTGTTAGTAGTGAAATGTACTTTGAAGATTCAAAAACAGTTACATCAAACTTTAAATAAGGTTTTATATTCTATTAAACAAATTCAGATTTGTGTGAGGAACTTACAAGTATATAGAGAATCTAGGTTTTCCTCATCTAAGTTTAGTTAACTTTTATTTTTATAGGATTCATATTATCTCCCTTTTCTGAATAAGTTATACTACTTGGTATATAATCTAATCCCAGAAGCATCTATAAATGCCCAAATTCAGAGTTCAAAATTATTTCCATAATATCTTCAAATTATTCACTAAATTCAAAGTAGAATAAAAGTGACTCACTTTGCTTATCTATCACTGCTTGTTACTTTTAGCCACTGTATAGTTTAATTGGTAATTAATCTTTCTCTGAACTCTCTGTATATATCAATAGGGTAAATGATGAAGAAGTTCTACTAAATACAACAATGTAATAATCACCAGTTAGAGTTTTAAGATTTTCTTAATTTTCATTTACTACATAAGTTATTATTTCAGGAGTTAATCCTTCTTTCATTGATTGATCTTAAAAATTTTGAAAGTGAAATGGTAAAATATCCTTAGTTGAATATAGATTTGGATTTCCATGATTAGTTGTCAATTAAATGATTACTTTTGTGGTATTTATATCCTCAACTTTAAATTAGAAGTACTGAGGAACACTTTACTCACTTTCTCCAATGTAGGGCTTCCCCTCCTTAATTTATTAGTAATAAATTCTATCATGCAGTTTAACTACAACTGAATAATGTGCAGGATTTTAAGAAACACCATAGACTCCTATAACATAAATGCATGATATTTATGTATTTCTAGAGAAAGCAGAATTTAGTTTGCAAGTTTCATGATTAGCCGTCCTTTCTTGCTGACTTATGTGATGAGCATTTCTTCTTAATTCAGGGGCATCAGCTAATTCTTATGTTTTAAAATTGCATTTCTGTTCAATGATCTCCTTTGTGTCATTGAATTCTAAGGGGCAAATTTTCAATAAGTACTTAATAGACCCCAGTATTTAATGAACTTAAAGCTAAAAATGTGTTTTTTAATCTGCCAAAAGCGGATCTTAGAAATAGTAATGAGCTATTTAGCTTTGATTCAAATAATTACTCTAAGATAATCCATTCTTTAGGTAATTATCTCCATCTTCATTAACTATTGTTATTTTGTATGTTGCTCTAGTAAACCCGTAAACAGCTATCATAAAGATTCCAGATTAAGCATTATTTTCTGCTCTTTTTTAAGGAGTCAATCTTAATTCCTCGTCAAAGAAATGATCTTTCGAATTATATATTGACTAAAATATATTTTCAGGAAGCTACTTTGGAGAGATGTACATATTTGGATTGCCTGAAAATACCTCTAGCTTCAGTCTAAGATCTTTTTAATTATTTATTATATTATAACTGTAAACCTAAGTCATTCCTTGCTCTATGTAGTCTAAACTCATTCCTCCTTATTTATTTAGATCAACAACTGATCCCATAAGTTTTGATGAAAACATAATAACTGAATTTTAATCAGAACTAATCAGAATAGTATAATTGCATCCCTTACAAAAGAGAAGTGTATTTTACTATGTTATTTTTAATACCATTTTGTCTTCCCAGCCTGACTCAAAAAATATTCCGTTCTATGAATTTGGTACTTTATTACCAGGAGTAAGTATCATCGTCAGCTTAGTCCTATCTATTGAACTAGCTCCAATGAATTCAATAGTATGAGTCTCGTTATCCTCGGGAATATATACCTTTAAAATCAATTCTTAATTTTCTTTAATGCTAAATTTGTTTGTCTAGCCAGCTTATAAGTATTTTTCAACGCTAAGTTCAGCTTGAATCTAGAATTAGCAATAGGTTTGGCAGTATACTCCAATTTATATGAGTGAAACATTCTTTAGTTCCTTTTTCGACAGAACACAATAATCCTCTCCATAGTACTCACATTTAATAGCATATTAGTTTATGCTAGGAGTTCAATTATCCTACATTTGCAATAAGTATTATCATATTTTATAATTACAAAATCTATGAACATTGATGAGTCTGTAAAAAGCAATCCTGGCTGTGTAAGTTATATTACAAGGTCTAAAAATTAAAATAAAATTGAAAGTTATACCTACCTTCATTATCCTATATTGAGAATTATCTTGTGTCGATCTCATAATAAGCCCATTTTTCTCTTTCCCTTTGGAATTGGGAATTGTCATTGGATAGAATTCCATGATATGTTTCAAACATTTTCATTTTTCTACTGTTTTAACCTATGGCATATGTTGTAAAAATACCAATTCCTATTATCTTAAGCAGAAGATATTTCATCATTTTTGAGATTCTCTTAATTATTAAATAATTTTTTCCCAACTTAGTAATCTGAAATGTATGTGGCATTAAGGGGTTTTGGGGTTTTGGGGTTTTGGGG